GGTCGTCATAGGGTTACACCTTCAGCCTTGGTTCCGGCTCTGTTTCGTGGCGGTCTACCCGCTCGTCTTCTGTTCTCGGCTCCCGCTGTGAGGCTGAGATCTACGCGGGGGCCATGGCTGCACAGGAGCTACGCTGGCTCACCTACCTGCTGACTGACCTAGGAGAGCCGCCTCGTTCTCCTCCAGTTCTGTACGTAGACAACAAGGCCATGCTGGCCTTGTGTTGGGAGCACAGATTGGAGCACAGAACGAAGCACATTGCTCTTCGCTACTTCCTTGCTCGTGAGCTGCAGCAGCGTGGTCAGCTGCGTCTTGCTTACGTGGCCTCTGAGGCCAACACTGCTGATATCTTTACCAAGGCACTTCCGCCTTGTGATCATCAACGCTTCTGTACGATGCTAGGTCTTGTGCCTACTTGGCCTCACTTGCTTACTTCTTGACCTTGCTTGTGATTTGATCATTCTATACCTGCACTTGCTTGTTTACCTTTATATATGATCTTGCATGTGAACTGGCCTTGTGGCCTTGCACTTGTGCTCGAAATGTATGGTGATGTTGTGATCCACCCTGAGCTTGCTTTGCTTTGCTTTGCTTGACTGGTCTTGTGACCTCTTGTTCTCCCCCACTTTGCGTATGGGGGTGTGTCAAACTCATATGCTATAGTCTGTGTAGGCTGTAGTGGGGGAGACAATATGGGGTGCAACACTTTTAGGTTTTCCTACTTGTACCCACCTGTTTGCCAGTGCATTCATTCCTCATTTCTTCACAACTACTGCGACTGCTGCGAGAGGAGTGGCCACTGCTGCTGCTGTCGCCGAGTCAGGTACCAAGCCGCCACTCCAACACCAAGCGCTCCACCAGCTCCTGCACTCCCGCCACCACCCTCCGCAACTCCACCCCCGTCGCTGCCGCCGCCACCCGCACCCTGACTGCCCCTCCTGCCACTCCGACCCCTAGACTGCGAAGAAGTCGTAGCAGTAGTTGCTGTCACGTCAGTCGCGGCAGTGGCGAGGGAAGCATTAAAGGTGGGCAGTTGAGGGAACGTGCACCCGTGAAACAGTGGGGGGGGCACAGCACTGTCACGATATATAATCATATATGTTTATAACTGCCTGTAGCTTTAGCTTTAGTGTAGTTATGTTTTTTTGCTGTTGGTGGTGCACCTTTGCTAGTTTGCTATGTGTACCTTGTGTGCTATAGTGAACGACACACATTCTCGACATTTCTCCTTGGCACAAACTCCTCGACACCCGCTTGGCCAAGGCTACTAAGCCTAGGCCCCTAGTTAAACCCAATTACCAGTAAGTTAGTCTCGTAACAAGCACCAGAGGCGAAGGCTACCGAGCGGAGGTTGCTCTCGACATCCTTGAGAGCAGACTCAAGGACGCCGATAGTGAGCTCGCTAGGGTGCTTCAGAAGAAGCGCGTCACGAGCTGAGGCAAGGCGGTCAGGGAGGCTAGTGGCGATGAAATAGATAGTGATCGCCATGGGAGGACGTAGCAGTGCAAGTTGTGCGTCATTGCAGGCAGCGCGAAAGCTAGAGTCCAATGAGCGCATGTGAGCAATCTTGTCAGCAGAGTGATCAAACGAGGCGAGGTCAGGAAACAGGAAGGGGAGGAACAGGCGGCCAAGAGAGACAGTGGAAAGAGTAGCATAGCGAGCCTTCATCGTAGTCAAGAACTCACTAGCCGTGCAAACCTGCATAAAAATGGGTCTCCTCATACTCAGGGAGTAGGCTGCTGAGGGCGATGCAGGCCTCAGCGTCGCGCGATTGCCAGACCGTCATGTCAGCACGCTGACGCGCAACACGCTCTCTGTCCTCAGGGGTAGCGTCAAGGCCTAGGGTATCAGGATCGGGGGGCGCGGGGAGGTCACCGGATGCATGCGCCCACAAAGACTCGTTTGCCTGCACCTGACTCTCTAGGAGACGTTGCGCACGCTAGAGCCAGACAGAGAACTCGAGGGGCCTACCCTTGGCGTCAAATCGAAAGCAGAAACTATAAGGTCGGTACGGCGCAGTGGCAGGCGAGGGCAGGGCGACAAGCACGACGAGGAGACAAGCGGTTGGGCAAGAGGCGCGCGGGCGTGCGCAGGGCAGGCGCGCGACCAAAAGTAGGTACGCAGCGGACGCTAGAGGGACGCGAAGGGCCGCAGCGGCGAGCTCTAAGGGCAGGCTCACAACGAGCGCAAAGAGAAGACGCGGCAAGCGTAAGAACGCAGGCCCGCGGCGGGCTCAAGGAGCAGGCTCGGCGGGCGGCACGGACAGGCACGACGGGCAGGTAGGGCAGGGCCGCGTCAGGCTCTAAGGGCAGGCGCGGCATGTGGCACAAGCAGGCGCGGCGGGCAGGTAGGGCAGGGCTGCGGCAGGTGGCACGGGCAGGCGCGGCGGGTGTCATGGGAAGAGACGGCGGGCAGCGAGTGCAGGCTCACGGCGGGCGCAAAACGCAGGCGCGGCGGGCGCAAGGGGAGGGCCCGCGGCGGGCGTAGCTGACAGGCGCGGCATGGGTGAACGGGTGGGCCCGTGACGGGCCGAACGGATAGGCGCGGCGGCGCGAAGGCAGAGCCCGCGGCGGGCCTAACGAGCGGGCGCAGCAGCGGGCGTTACGGGCAGGCGCGGCGGCGCGAAGGCAGGGCACGCGGCGGGCCTAACGAGCAGGCGCAGTGGCGAGTTTAACGGGTAGGCACGACGGCGCGAAGGGAGGCCCCGCGGCGGGCCTAACGGGCAGGCGCAGCGGGCGCTAAGGGCAGACGCAGCGGCGCTAAGGGCAGGCGCGTGGCGGGCGCTAAGGGCAGGCCCGCCGGCGGGCGCTCAGTGCAGGCACGGCGGGCGCTTAGGGCAGGCGCGCGACGGAACGGGGGACGGGAAGGGACGGGCGCGAGAACGGGCAGAATGCGCTGCGGCAAGTGTGATTGCAGGCGCGCGGCGGACGGGCGTATGAAAGGGGCGCTACTGCAGCGCTACGAGACATGACGAGACGGGTGAGGCGCGTGAGGCTCGGGAAGCTCGGGCAAAAGGAACAGGATCCTACAGGATCCAAACCTAGGTGATACCATGTCAGAAACTGAATTGTGTGTTCATTAATGTGGGTTGGGGTACATATAGGAAACCCTAATATTTGTACCCCCTAAGACAAGCCTCACTAAAGGCGACAACATTTGACAATTGGGGTGGCCTTGCAACGTGCAAAGGCTCGGGTTGTCCTGATACGTGTTGCGTCGTCTATGGGCGGAGCAGATATTGATTCGGTGGACAGGAAGTGGGAGGACACTGGGGAGATTGTGGGTTGTTTGTGGGTAGAGGCTCAGTATTTGGTGTCTGCCCCGGTTTGAGGAGCGCTCGAAGGATAACTGTCGGAGGGCTTTTTATAGTGCGTGACGGGAGGTTTCATTCCCATGAGGTCGTTTTCTGGGTTGGCTTCATTCATTTTCTCGGGCAGCAATTGTGACTACGGAATAAGTGCTGGTAGTAATAGTGTGCATGACTTTTAAGCGTGTGTGTGGGCTGGGTGTTTAGTAGTACCTCGTAAGTGCTTTGATCGAAGGTCCATGCCAGTTAGGGTGCGTCAGATCCGTTGGCCGGATCAATCCGGCCGGCCGGATCTAGCGAAGGTTACACATTCACGACATTCGTAAGGTATTTTGTGAATTTCGCACAATCCGGCCACTTGCTAAAATTTTGATGGCCGGTTTGATGGCCGGTTTAGCGGTCGACAACTTTCCGACGTGCAAACGAATCGAGAGTCGACCACTTTGTCGACTCGTCACCGATATAGTATATATGCGACTTGGCCAACATACCCAAGTGACTCAACGTGTCACAAGGACGACTCGCACGGCGCTTTCAGCGCCGTTGAACATGACCGCTTCCGAAGCGAAGGAGCACAAGAGCTACTTGGAGAGCCACCTTGCATGCATGTTTGCCAGTGCTGATGAGGTGTTCAGACCAGACGCGGCAGAGGTAACCGAATACGTCACGATCAATTCGCAGTGTTTCGTATAGGTGGTCTGGGGACATGTGCAAGAAGCGCTCCATCCAACGCGCTCGTTGAATACTTCGGTCATTTCGCCAGAACACCTGGTAATCGCTCTCGTCAGCAAAGTCAAGGAGCAAGGGCACCATGATACCGACTACAGCGACCAAGGGGATGAGCACGACGTGCGTGAGTCCGATTGCTAATCGTCGTGCCCATCTGGGTGTGAAAGGATCCGCCATGTTATATAAAGGGTATAGTGTAGGGACGTTCTGTTAGAATAGTAGGTGTGGGGCCTAGGCTTAGTAGCCTAGGCCCACACTAGGAGGTAGTTGAGTTTGCTCTAGAACTAGGAGTTAGGGTTTAGGAAGGAGAATTGGAAGGAAGAATGAGGGACTAGGAAGCAGCAGGACACACAAAATGGCAAACTCTACGGGGTTGTACTCACTATTGAACACCCCACTGCAAGCTAGACAAATAACATTCTGACACACCCCCATAGCCAAAGTGGGGTGTAATCAGCAGAGCAAGCAAAGCAGTACAAGCTCAGGGTGGATCACAATGTCACCACACATTCTGAGCACAAGTTAAAGAAGCAATAGTTTAAAGTTAAGAATTATGAGCACAGCTAGTGGTAGTCACAACGGGCAAGTGAGGAGGAGGAGAGAGAGTGAGGGGAGAGGAGATAGGAGGAGACGGCTGAAGCTGCAGACACACGGGCAACAGGAGGCAGACTGGCACAGCGGCTACCGGACTAAGCGCCCGGACTACAGGAGTAACAGGCCCCGCGGCTAAAGTAGCGGCAGACGAGCAACGGACCCACGGGCGGCTGGCGTAGAAGTCTAGCTCACTGGGCTACCGGGACAGCGCCCCGGACTACAGGTGCTGCGGACAACAGTACGGCAACTTCCATGCAGCTTCCCCAAACAGTCCCACCCCCCTGACACACACCCGCTGCTACACCGCTAGCTCCACTCCCACGCACCCCCCTTAAACCCTAAACCCCAGTCTCCCACACAACCACCCCCCTCAGCGACAACTGCAGCAGTGGGAGACGAAGGAGGAGGAGGAGCAAAGGGAGGAATGCACACCAGCCACCCCCATACTCGCAAACGGGGGGGGGGGGGGGGGGGGGAGAGCAGAAACAGTGCGCACGAGGGCGCAGACAGTAGCAGAGCGCACGAGGGCGCGAGCGCGAGGCACGAGCAGCACCAGGCACATGCAGCACAGGGCAGCACAGGCACGGGCAGCAACAGGCACAGGCAGCACAGGCACGGGCAGCACAGGGCAGCACAGGCACGGGCAGCAACAGGCACAGGCAGCACAAGCACGGGCAGCACAGGCACGGGCAGCACAGGCACGGGCAGCACAGGCACAGGCAGCAACAGGCACAGGCAGCACAGGGCAGCACAGGCACGGGCAGCAACAGGCACAGGCAGCACAGGCACGGGCAGCACAGGCACGGGCAGCACAGGCACGGGCAGCACAGGCACAGGCAGCAACAGGCACAGGCAGCACAGGGCAGCACAGGCACGGGCAGCAACAGGCACAGGCAGCACAGGCACGAGCAGCACAGGCACGGGCAGCACAGGCACGGGCAGCACCAGGCACAGGCAGCAACAGGCACAGGCAGCACAGGCACGGGCAGCACAGGCACGGGCAGCAGAGGCACGGGCAGCACAGGCACAGGCAGCAACAGGCACAGGGAGCACAGGGCAGCACAGGCACGGGCAGCACAGGCACGGGCAGCACAGGCACGGGCAGCACAGGCAGAGGCAGCAACAGGCACAGGCAGCACAAGCACGGGCAGCACAGGCACGGGCAGCACAGGCACGGGCAGCACAGGCACAGGCAGCAACAGGCACAGGCAGCACGGGCACGGGCAGCACAGGCACGGGCAGCACAGGCACAGGCAGCAACAGGCACAGGCAGCACAGGGCAGCACAGGCACGGGCAGCAACAGGCACAGGCAGCACAGGCACGGGCAGCACAGGCACGGGCAGCACAGGCACGGGCAGCACAGGCACGGGCAGCACAGGCACGGGCAGCACAGGCACAGGCAGCAACAGGCACAGGTAGCACAGGTACGGGCAGCACAGGCACGGGCAGCACAGAGCGTACCGGGTCCAGGGGCGGCTTCTGAGGTCCAGGGGCGGCTGCTGCAGGGGCTGCTGCTCCAGGGGCCAGGGGCGGCTCCTGCACGGGCGGCCGCTCCAGGGACCAGGGGCGGCTGCTGCAGGGTCGGCTGCTCCAGGGACCAGGGGCGGCTGTACCAGCGGCGGCTGCACCAGGGGCGGCTGCTGCAGTGGCGGGCAGCTCCAGGGGCGTCTGCTGCTGCAGGCTCTGGCGGCGGCTGCTGCTGCAGGCTCTGGCGGCGGCTGTTGCTGCAGGCCTGGCGGCGGCTGCTGCTGCAGGGCGGCGGCGGCTGCTGCTGCAGGATCTGACGGCGCCCCGCGGGTCCCGCAGGGGGCGTCGCGACGAGCAGGGGCGACGCCCCGCGGGTCCCACAGGGGGCGTCGCGACGAGCAGGGGCGACGCCCCGCGGGTCCCGCACGGACGTCGCGACGAGCAGGGCGACGCCGCGCGGGTCCCGCAGGGGGCGTCGCGACGAGCAGGGGCGACGCCCCGCGGGTCCCGCACGGACGTCGCGACGAGTAGGGCGACGCCGCGCGGGTCCCGCAGGGGGCGCCGTGACGAGCAGCGGGGAGGGCAGCGCACAGGCCCCCTCGAGGGCGCTCCGACGGACGGGAAAACCGCCGCGCGCCCCGAGCGCGCGGCGGGCAGAAAAAGCCGCCACGCGTTCGAAGCGCGTGGCGGGATGAAAATGCAATGCCGCGCACCACGGGGCGCGCGGCGAATAGTACGGCAGCGGAAGTAGGTGGTGGGCCCGATGAACTAGGCGGCAGGATCATGCCGGCTCTAGATACCATGTTAGAATAGTAGGTGTGGGGCCTAGGCTTAGTAGCCTAGGCCCACACTAGGAGGTAGTTGAGTTTGCTCTAGAACTAGGAGTTAGGGTTTAGGAAGGAGAATTGGAAGGAAGAATGAGGGACTAGGAAGCAGCAGGACACACAAAATGGCAAACTCTAAGGGGTTGTACTCACTATTGAGCACCCCACTGCAAGCTAGACAAATAACATTCTGACACGTTCCGGTTTTTGTATGCTCTCGTCACACTCAGTTCGGGTAGACGACACGATCTTGCCGAGCCGGATTGTAAATGGAGCCGCAGCTCACATCTTGACTCTCTGATCGTAGTGCGCACAATAGCGGTTGTGTCACTTCAGTTACAATACGTGCGACTCCGTCGCACAATCCGGCCAACTGTGCGACCTGCAAATCTGACACTTTTGCAAACCGGCTTGTAAATCGGCCACCAAATCTGTCAGATTTTAACACCTTGTAAATGTGGCTGGATGGTGGTCGGTTTAGCATTTGACCATTCGGTCGACTTTGGCGAAAAAAGGAGTCGACCAAAAGGGCGACAAATTTGCAGCCAAATCACATTGTAGCGGATCTGACGCACCCTTAGGATGAGCGTATTTCTATGCCAAATAAGAGGTATTTTTAGTGTCGCGGGTTAGAGTGTACTGTAGAATATGAAAACTGCTTTATGATGGAAGCACCTGTTTGCTGGGTCGCAGGTGCCTGGTGCTGCTGGCAACGTTGACGGTTGATCAGGTCAACTGGTCAACTGTATGTGTTGTTACAGGCAGAGCACTTCATCGCGGTAGTTCCAAATGTCCAGGAACTGTTGCTGGGCAGATTTCACGAACTTGTTTCCAAATGAACTCCAGCCCTTGCCGAGTCATTCTGCAAATGATAAAAAGCGAGAATCATGCCAACAATGCCCACTGCCGAGCAGCTTTTATCGGCTCCACACCGCACGCACCGCAGGATAAAAGCACCGCTGCCCGAGCCGAAACACATCTGACGTGCACACCTCAGTGGCTAACATCGGTGGCCACAATGGTTTCGGGCAGTTCAGCTGTCATAAAAACGTCTCCTTCTGCCCCAGCCCTGTCGGTGCCGTCAGAGCAGAACCCACGAAGGATATTTCATGTTCACTGCGCCTGTCACACGGCAGCAGTGCGATCAAGTTCGGTGACCCTCCAGCCACCACCACCACTCACTTTCACCAACCTCCGCAAGCACAGCCCTTCCTTGCTCTCGTCGCGACCGCTCGCGCATGCCAAATGGCGCACGATCGGCGCAGATCACCACTTCACCAATCGAGGCTGGGAGTACGGGCAATGTGTGCGCGCGGTCGTGGATGGTGCAGCAGCGAGCAGCATTGTCATCTCATGTCATGCCATGCCGCGTTTGGTTTCCATCCAATCCATTCGTTGGTTTCCGCCCGCGCAGCGCCGCCCTCAAACCCACTTCCCCACCGAATGTCGCGCCCGGAATTCCCCCTCCCGCGCCGTCCATCCCATCCCATCCCAGCACATTTGGTCCCTTCATCAGCCCAAACATTTGTCAGTTTTCTGAAGACCTAACTCACCGTTTTACCATAGCTGAATTGTGAAGCCCCCGCACCGTCCATTCTTGTGGCTTTTCCCCCTCGTTCGGTTTCGGCACCTCGTGATCTTCCCGTTACGTCGTCGGGAGTTTCATCTTCTCGTGTGTCGTTCACCCAGTCAAGGCCATCCATCGTTACCGGAATCTCACAGGTAATCTCTAAGTGATTTAGCGACAAGAATTCCCAGCAGCCAGACCACAGCCCCGCAAAATACTACAAACTATCCGTGTATTGTTTTCTGCGGAAGCCCCGTGTATTATCAAACCACCTGATCGCGTGTTTGTTTTCGAAACTTTCCCATTCTCCCCAAACAAGCGCTTTCCGTCCTGTGTCTCTCTCTCTCGTCGCTCCAAATTTCTTTGCCTAGTTCCTCCAGCCCGGCATCTCCTGCAATCATGTTGCCGTCCGTAGCCGTCGCGTTGATGCTGCTCGCCGCGTCGATTCCGGCGTCGGACGCGAAGGTGCGGTCCGGTTGCATCCGGAACTACCAATGCCCGCGTCGCGGTAGCAATCAGTGCGGCCTCTACTACGTCTGTTCCAACTCTGCGAATCCCAAGCCGCCCTACACCCTCCAGACCTGCGACACATGCGCGTTTCGGGACAAGTGAGTTTTTTTGTTTTGTTTTGTTTTTGTTTTTTTTTGTTCCACTACGTAAGACTTTTGATCTTCCAACATTGTGGCCGGACCGCACCTCTGTTACCTGGCGGCACATGCGGGCATCTGTAAAGTGCGTGATGCTGCTGAGTGCTTGGCTGCATATCAAGGATGCGAGACCATTGACGCATGAAGTCGTCCTACCCACCCCTCTTTCGACGACTGTAGCACGTCTGTCGGGGAACGTCATATTTGCAATTTCTGTCAGTCACAGCCAGACCGCCTTGCACTTGCCAGCCTTGCGAGCCCCTCGGCGTTTAGGTACGAGTTTCGAGGCGCCTCATAAAGCACCTGCGCGTGCAGGGCGGAAGAGGGTTAACCGCTTCGGCGAGAACTTGAACCTGAATGGAGCAGAGTGAAAAGCGGGTAAGTAGGTGATCCTTACGCCACACCTAAGCAAGCAGCCCACTATCACGACTCTAAGAACTTGCTCGTCGCAACCACGAGTTTTTGGTTCAATTCTGGGCTGTTTTTATTTATTTATTATACTCGATCAGCTCTACTTGAGTTTCTCACAGTGGGATGGATTTTTTTTTTTTTTTTTTTTTTGCAATTTCGCGCGGACGAGGAGGCGGTGGCAGGCTTCGGGTGCAGTCCGACGTCGTTTTCCACCATGCTACCCTCATTCCAGCATTAGCCAGGCGATGCACCAGCATTATCCCGTCGATTCTCCACCCTTCTCCTCTCGCCGTAACAGTTTGTTCTGTCCTCACCTCTCCGATCTGCCTGCACACCCTTTCCCACTGCTTCCACCCCTCGTCCCAACTTGTCTTTCTGCTCCCGTCTTGTCTCAGCGTTAATGCCTACGCCCAAGTGTGCAACTACGAGACCGGCCGATGCAACGTTAACAAAATTGTGAGTCAATCACCTCACCTCACCGCATCTCACTGCACCTCATTGCAACTCACCCCTTCCGCCCTCTAGTTGGGTCTCGTGTTTAACCAACCACCGTGTATCCCTGATTTCTTTCTTATGCCCATTGCTGGCTGGTATGCCTGGTTGCAGGATGGCAAGCCTTGTGCGACAGATAAACAATGCGGTCCTTCGGGACAGTTCAAGTGCTTGGTGAACAAGAACAGCAAAGCCAAGCCGCAGGCCAAGCGCTGCTGCAGGTGAGGAAGGACGAAGGCATACCTCTTCCTTTGTTCCCGTCTTGCTGTCACTGCTCACCGATGCCAATGGCTGTTTCTCCTAACTCGGTTGCGTTTCCCAACTCTTTGCAGGGACAAATGCCCCCCTGGCTTGTGCGGTTATGGCAAGGCTCCTGCAACTTATCTCAATGCCTGCGGCACTAGGATCACCTGTCCTGGAACCTGCCCAAAGAAGTGAACCCTTCATGCTTGTTAAGGATTGAGTAATTGACCTATCCAAATACTTCCTAGTCAATAGTTGGGGATATCATAATGCCTCATCCTAATGCTCTGTAATTTATTGAACTTCAGGAATTGAATCCATTGACATGGTGAATTCGGATAGTTAAAGCAAGGTGTGTTCCCCCAGCCAAAAACTCAACCGACACACGGTAGGTAGGCATCGCCTGCCTTGTTTCAATCCCTCGCACCAGCCATACACCCCCTGCAGAATTCGCCCTCGAATCAGCAAGCGCCAGAGGGTGTGTACTAACATTACACCCAAAAGCCACCCCCAGGTATGTGCACCCTTGCTTTAAAATTGTTGCATAGAAGAATCGGCCAATATCATTGATACTCGAATTATGCCCGGAGCGGTTTGCATTCGTACTCAGCCGACATTTTCGCGGTATAGTACTTACAAGTACTGTTTACTTACGTTACAAGCACAATTTTGAAACAATGTCGCTACTAACACTTCACCATCACATACCCCTGAAAACGGAACAGGATATAAAATATAACCCTTATATAGCCCTGAGACACTTTGGGAAAATCAACCCTAAACACGAGAAGCCATCCCGTGTTTAGGGCTGATGCCTTCCCTTTTTGCCTGCGTTTCTCCCTTGGTTATTTTATTTGTTGTTCTGTACGGAAGTCGCGGTCTGACGCAAGGTTTCCTGGAATCGTGGGGATGAAAGCCAAAAGTGCGACAATTTAACCGTTCGGTTCGGCGCGTTTTTGTTCGGTTCGTTTTAGTCGAGACTGTCAACTCCAGGTCGAGGAATACACATCTAGCCAGTCAGAGTACAATTCGGCCTTGTTCATGCTACGATCAGAAGTTGATCGTGGCCTAGGATCTACTCAGGAAGGTTCGCACGCAGAGAAGTGATGTTGGTGGGCCCTTGACCTCAATAGCAGAGTGAATGTAAAATGCTTTGAGATGATTTAAAACATGCAAATACAACAAATATAAATATGAGTATAGGGGAGATGAAACGACCTAGCTAGCCATGTACTCTAAGGGGTACATTCCCTGTCAGAATGAGGAATGGATGTTGCATTGATGTTGGTTGGGGTACATATGACAAACCCTAACTTCTGTACCCCCTAAGACAAACCTCACTACAGGCTACAACATTTGACACACCCCCATAGCCTAAGTGAGGGGTGTCTAGTAAAAACAAAAAAGAGTACGGTCACAAGACCAGTCCAAAAGAAAACAAAGCTCAGGGTGGATCACAACGTCACCACACACTCTGAGCACAAGCAACAGTGGCCACAAGGCCAGTCCAAGAGATCACAAGTATATATAGTAAGTGTACAGACGAAGCAGGCAATAAACTCAAGTCTACGCATGACTAGAACCTGTGTCAACAAGGCCTAACTGCACACAACACCTCTGGTGGTCACAAGGCGGAAGCGCCTTGGTGAAGATGTCTGCAGTGTTGGCCTCGGACTCTACAAACTCAAAGCGAGCCTGTCCACGCCTCTGCAACTCTCGCAGAAGAAAGTACCTGACGTGAATGTGCTTCACTCTGCTCTCCAGTCGCGGCTCACGACAGAGGAGGATCGACGCCTTGTTGTCAGTAAACAAGGTCGGTGCAGAGCTCGGCCGCTCACCAAGGTCGGCGAGCAAGAAGGTCAACCACCGTAACTCCTGTGCCGCCATGGCACCAGCGTAAATCTCAGCCTCAGCTGTAGAGGTCGAGACAGAAGAGGAGCGCGTGGAACGCCAGGAAACAGCTCCAGAACCCAGACTGAAACAGTACCCCTGAGTAGACCTGTGAGTCTCAGCGTCGTCAGCGTAAGAGGAGTCACAGTGACCAGTGAGTACGACAGACTGCTGCCCTCCAAGAACTAGCCCCACGCCTGATGTAGTCGCTAGGTACTTCGCCACCCTCACAGCTGCCGTCCAGTGAACAGGACGGTGTCTCCCTGGCGCAACAAAGCGCGCAAGGATGCTGAGAGGGAAGGCGAGGTCCGGGCGAGTACAAGTCATCAGGTACATGAGGCAACCCACAAGCTCTGCGTAGGGACCACTAGGCTCAAACGGCTCGTCAGGAAAGGGACCAGTGAGTCTGTGGTCAACAGCTAGAGGTGTGCGCTGTACGGTGGAGTGCTGAAGCCCGAACCGCTGAAGGACCTGCTGCACCATGTGTGACTGTGAGAGTGTAATGGTGCGAGCGGCTCTGTCCCTGGTGATCTGCAGGCCAAGGTAGTGGCGCAGCTCACCAAGATCAGTGCACGTGTGTCTCTTATGCAGTTCGGACTTCACGTCTGCCAAAGCAACCCTGTCCGAAGTGGCGAAAACGAGGTCGTCAACGTAGACCAGAACAAAGAACGGTGTGGAGCCACGACGAACGAACAGCGACGGGTCGGCAGAAGACGGCTGGAACCCAAGGTCAGAGAGGGTAGAACGCAGAGTGTCGTGCCACTCACGAGGGGCCTGGCGAAGACCGTAAACAGGTCGCCTCAGCCTCCACTGGGTCCCAGGAGGGAAGGTGCCAGTGAAGGCCGAGGGACGACGCAACCAGACCTCCTCGTGTAGGCTGCCCTGAAGGAAAGCAGTGGAGAAGTGGAGAGAGTGTAACTCGTAGTCTCTCTGTGCTGCTACGTGTAGTAACACCCGAAGAGTGGTCATCTTCGGGGTAGGTGCGAAGGTCTGAAAGAAGTCAATTCCCTCGCGCTGACTGAAACCTCTAGCCACGTAGCGCGCCTTGAAGACCGGGGGAGATCCCGGTGGCCGCTTCACCCTGTAGATCCACATGCCGTCGACTACGTTCGCCCCCGGGGGGGGAACCTCATCGACGTAGGTGCCTGTGGATCTGTAGGAGGCCATCTCTGCGTCCATGGCAGCTCTCCACTGAGAGGCCCAAGGCCCTGACACTGCCTCAGCGTAAGTGCGAGGAGTCGGAATGTCAAGGGCGTCGGGGTCACCCTCAGGGGCGAGGAGCATGGCACAGAGATGAGGGGAAGCGGCCGCCAGGAACTCTAGCTCAAACTGCCTGTCCTCTAGGGCGTCACAGCCAAGGGCAGACACACCCCCGACGGCCAGAGGACTGGTAGGACGAGCAGCCACAAGCGTGGTGGCGTAGTCAAGGCGGCGGGTAGAGGCAAAGTCAGTAACTGCGGCAGTAAGAGCGGACACAGAGGACACAGAGGCACGAGGGTGAGTAACAAGAGAGGCGAGAACACGAGAGAGAACAGGACGGTACGTGCGGTAGTAGTCAGTGACAGGAGTAGGGAGCGACACAGTGAGGGCCGACTCAGGAGGAGACGGAAGCACAGACTGAGACGGACGAGGTGGACTAGAAAGAAGGAAGGCAGTACGAAGGTCAGTGAAGGGAACAGGAGACGAGGGACGAGCACGAGGGGAGCCACGAGTAGCCCAAGAACGAGACGGAGGAGGAGAGGACAAAGGCGGAGAACTGGGGAAAACAGCGGGGGAGGAGTCAGGAGGAGGAAACATGGGACCGTAGACAGGAGGAGAGGCGGAGGAGGGAGGAGAAGGGGAGGGGAGACCAAGGATCCGAAGACCCGAGACAGGAGGAGGAAGTGGCTGCTGCTGCTGCGGCTGCGACTGCTGCTGCTGCGGACGCGGCTGCTGCTGGGACTGCTGCTCCTGCGGGTCCAGCTGCTGCTGCTGCTGCTCCTGCGGCTCCAGCTGCTGCTGCTGCTCCTCCAGCCGCTGTAACTCCCTCTCCTCTCTCTCCAACGCCAGCTGCTCGCCACGGGCACGGCGAACACGAGCCTGGTGCCTAGTCGGGTAGGGGTGGGGGGGTGGAGTAGTGTCCGAAGCAGCGGCAGCTCCAGAGTCCACCTCAGAAGAACTAGGCGCACCACCCCCAGAGGCAGCACTAACACCAGCTCCAGAACCAGGCTCACCTGAACCCGAAGGAGGCGCACCCTCACCCCCAGACGCAGCACCCCCAGTGTCCGCGCGGCCAGCACCAGCTCCCGGACGACAAGAGTCCTCTGCACCCACCGGGTCAGCTCCAACTCCAGAACCAGAAACTCCAGCTCCAACCCCAGCTCCAACTCCAGCACCCCCAGAACCAGAAACTCCAGTGCCAACTCCAGCTCCAACTCCAGCTCCAACTCCAGCACCCCCAGAACCAGAAACCGGTACAGGAACAGGCCCGCACCAACCTCTCAAGAGCTAGCACCAGCGGCACGCTGCGAGGAGGACTGCGGGGAGGGAGGCTGTACCGGAGGGGCTACCGAAGGAGGAGGGGTAGCCTGGGACACACCTGACGGGGCTGGACCAGGGGGGGGAGGCTGTACCGGGGGAGCAGGAGGGGGAACAGCAGTCAGGAAGAGGGGGGGAGGAGCCGGGAGACCTCGACTGGGGTACCTGACGTAGTACGGAGTGGACTCCTCGAAACGGACGTCACGGGAGTCAAAGAACCGGTGAGAGGGAGGGTGGTAAAAGGTGAAGTCAGAGGAGTCCTCAGGGAAACCAAGGAAGACACAGGGGACGGCACGAGGCGAGAGCTTGTCCGC